CTTCCTGCAGGTGGCTTCCAGGCCTCTGCCATAAGGGTAGCCATCGGCCATGGGAGGGCCTTCCCAATTCTGGCGTGACATCCCCACCCACCCTCTGCCCCTCTTGGATTGGACTAACGACCCTGCCCCAAATGTGGCACATTTCTGGGCACCAAGCAGGCATGCTCCACAAGGTTCAGTCTCCTTATTAATTGTCTCAGCAGCTTAGATACTCACCTTGCAGTGGGATCAGAAAAGGGCTGAGACATCTAAAGATCAATAGATGTATAGATCTTTTTCCTTGTCAGTGTTCTTAATGTTTTAAAAGCTGCCTGTGGCTGATCTGTGATCCTAGGAGAAATATGTTTCCTTGTTTGCTTGCTTGAAAAGGGATCCAGCGTAACGGGCCCTGCATGGTTCTGTTTGCACAAAGACAGTGGCCACGATGCACTCCTGAGCATCCAGCAGATTGGTGGCAACCTCTTGCTTCCATGTGTCATAGGTGTCCATGGTGGGACATACTCCTGAGCATCCAGCCCAGTGGATTCAACCTCTTGCTTCCATGTGTCATAGGTGTCCATGGTGGGACATGCAGGAACCCCCCCCCACACACACACACAATTCTAAATTCTGTATTATTTTCCATGTGCCATGCTAGATGCTGTTGTTTAGTGTAGTAAGTCACAAATAGAGTAGGCCCACTGAATTGGGGTGGGGGAGTGGGCTGGTGAATAAACTCTTCCGTAAGTCCCATGGATTCAAGGGGCCTACTCTACTTTTGACTTACCACGGCAGGAACCCCCCCCCACACACACACACAATTCTAAATTCTGTATTATTTTCCATGTGCCATGCTAGATGCTGTTGTTTAGTGTAGTAAGTCACAAATAGAGTAGGCCCACTGAATTGGGGTGGGGGAGTGGGCTGGTGAATAAACTCTTCCGTAAGTCCCATGGATTCAAGGGGCCTACTCTACTTTTGACTTACCACGCTAAGCAGCAGGATTTCACCCGCTGCATTGTATCAGGCTGCACAAGGCCTGTGAATCATCCGAACAGAGAGGTTTGCCCGCCCACCTTCCAAGGATTCCTGTGGACATTTCAGACATGTGGTCTGACTTCCGTGGCTCCTAAGCATGAAATCCTTCTGCTTCAAACCGTGGAGGAAGGTGGAGGGTCACGGGGTGCCTGGCAAGGCTCTAAGGTGCTGCAGGGCCCACCCGCCCGGAAGAGCGCTCGACTCTGGGCCACGCAGAAGCTTTCCGGACCCTCCTGGATCTGCCACTCGGAGGCCGTCGGTGTCTTTGGCCCTCCAGCCGGGGGGGGGGATACAGACCAGTCCTCTGCAGGATTGGCCCCTTGCCCGTTGACCGCTTGCTAGGAGGCGACACAGAGGTGGTCCCTGGTCTCTCTGGCCGGCTGACCTGCCCACTGGCAGGAGGAGCAAAGCATCCCTGCTCGTG